CATATGATGAGTACAACCCGTATCCAGCACCCACTTAGTAGCACAATCAAATGATGAGGAAGTGGTTAAAGCAAAATCAGAAAAAATCTGTTTCAACCTCAGCAACATTAGCTTCAGAACTTTCTTTGCCTTTGGTCTTCAATTTAGGACAATCTTTCTTCCAATGGCCCTTATTATGACAAAAGGCACATTCATCCCTTTCCAAAGGTTTTCTACCTTTAGAGTTTCCTCTAGGTCGAGACTGTGATTTTTTCCTACTAGAAGATGATCTTCTCTCCGATGATCTACCTCTAACAAATAAAGCTTCAGAGGTACTATCATGATTTTTTATCTCTATGCCTCATTTCATAATTCATCAAGGCATTTGACACATCTCTTCAAATTTCACAGTTTCTTTACCATGCATAATAGTGGTAACAAAATGCTCATAAGAGTCCGGCAAGGAATTCAACAATATTAAGGCCTTATCTTCATCCTTAATATCCTCATCTAAATTTAACAAGTCGGCAATCAACTTATTAAAAGCATCAAGGTGTCTAATCATTTTTGTACCTTCTTTGTATTGGAAGCGGTAGAGCTTTTTCTTCAAGTGTAGCCGGTTCTCTGCACTCTTCGTCATATACTTGTCTTCCAATTTTTGCCACGATACACTTGCTACCGTCTCCCGCATCACAAAATACTTCTGAGTTTTTGCAAGGCACAACCGAATTGAAGAGCAAGCCCACAAATTTAATTTCTCCCATTCCGACTTCGACATAGCTTCCGGCTTTTCTCCCAAAGCGGCAAGTAGATCTTGTTGAGCCAACACATCTTTGACCTCACATTGCCACATCCCGAAGTTGTTTGTGCCATCAAACTTTTCAACTTCGAACTTTGCATTTTGCACCGTAGTTCTTGCAAACCCGGAGCTGCTTCCAAAAGGATTCTCATCTTGCCCGTCTGACATCTTTGGCAACTAGACAGTACCCAAGAGCAACCAGTGCTCTGATACCAATTGTTGTGCTAAGATAGCACCAAACCCGTTGGAACCAACTCAAGCTAACCCACAGGAAATTTATCAAATGAAATGCAAGAACAAAATATTAAAGACACCAAGATTTTAACGAGGTTCCTCAACAGTCAGTGTAACTGGAGTACGTCCTCGGAGCAGTAGGAGCTCACCCAATAATCCACTATCAACCAAATGGGAGTTTACAAAGTGTTGACAATCTCACAACCCAAAAGCCCAATACACCCAATAGCTCTCACACACCAAAGAAACAAATAGAGAGGGAAATATAGTGAATAATTTCCTCTCTATACAAAGTTCAAAGCTAATACACAAATACAACTTTGATTGAGTGAGTACCAATAAAGAAAGAAAATCACCTTTCTTTCTTCTCTTCAAAATGAGGCTGCAGCACCTCTGTTTTTGCTCTCATTTTCTGCTACGTTTTTTCCTCTCTTATGGCTTCATTACTACACTTCATCAAAAATAGCAATTATTTCTCTTTCAAAGAACTCATCCGTGACTTCCCATGGACCAAGACAACTTTAGACCAATTCCCTTTTATTTTCCCCAAAACAAGGAAGAGACATAATTATTTTGTCTTTTTTTTCTTTTTGATTTGTTTAATTAAAAGGTGGCCACTTGGCCACATACTCCAACACATATTTCTCTGGCGTTTCATGCCTTTGGCTTAGTTAAATACGAGTAATTTTTAGCGTATTCAAAACATTATTATGCGGTACTACTATTCTCGCAAGCATTAAGCAAGTAACCCCATCCCAAAGTATCATGAACGTAGAGCGGCAACTATAATAGTAATGCTGTCATTTAACAGAAAGACAAAAATCTATGAAGCTGCTTAAATCGTTTCAATTAACACGAAGGTTCATCCTATTCAAATTCATGACAAAAAGTATTGATTTCTCTTTCGAATAGGTCCCGATAGAAGAAGGAAGGTTAAATTGCCAACGTGCTATTATTGAATTAAATTCACTTGACCCAATACACAAATTAATTATAACATATCACATATATGTATTTGTTTTTATTAACATATTTTAATAGTAGGATATATCAATCATTTCGTTCACTGATATTATAACACATGAAATAATAAGATCACACGTTACCATTCACTAAACATTAATGAAACAGTGGACTTTTAGAATATGACCTCAGAATTATTGATTTTCGTTTCATAATGTAAAGAACTCATATGCTACAAACTACAATATTATCATCTCTAAATTCCCATTCAATAAATTAATTTTCAGTAATTTAACCACCCGATGGTGAGGTATGAACATTATTCAGTTAGGTTCAAATATTACTATGAAGAGAGGTTCGAGCGGCAATATTTATAAATTCCAGACGAACGAAATCAATTCTCACTGATATAAAAGCATAAAGCATACATAATAACGTCAAGGTATCAAGCAGTTTGTAGTTCAATTAGTCAAGACATTTACCTTCTGCGCTAAAAGTCTCAAGTATGATTCTTTCTCTTTACTAATCATGTTTATATCCGAAATCAAGAAGGGCCTAAACGGCAAAGAAGAAACCCATCCTTGTTTGTCTCTAATTTAAAATCCCCGTTAATCACCTTTCTAGGTTCCTTAAATAGCCTTATTTGAAGAACACTTTTGAGCTCACTTCGTCCTTTTTCTCGATGATTCAAACTGTTTATATTAAAATTATTTATGTATAGCTCATTTTTACAATATATATATATATATATATATATATATATATATATATATATATATATATATATATATATACACAGAGAGCTTAAGGGGGGATCCCCATTTTTTGAAAAAAATGGGGATTAGGCATGGGGCCCACTTCACATCTAATTTCAACGATCCGAACCGTCTATTTTGTTAGTCTCGATTCATAGATCATCCTTGCAAAATATTAGCTAAATTGGAAATGTTTAAGACATCTAATTGGGTTCAAGGAAATGAACGAATACTTTGTTATATAAGAAAATATGAAATTTGATATTGATAATTAAATAGGCAAATGGTTTTGGATTGAATTGAATTTTTGCAAGGATGATCTATGAATCGAGACTAACAAAATAGACGGTTCGGATCGTTGAAATTTGATGTGAAGTGGGCCCCACACCTAATCCCCATTTTTTTCAAAAAATGGGGATCCCTCTCTTTAAGCTCTGTGTGTGTGTATATATATATATTAAAAAGATAAATTCAAAAGTATTAAGACATCAAGTTATATTAAAGAAAATAGAAAAATACGATGCTTCAAATGAACACTAAATGATCAACATTTAATCAACAAACATATAGTTTTCAATATGACAATTTTTTGTTGATATGATCTTTGAAGAAAAATCGATAGACGGTTAAATCGTTAAAATATAATGTGAGGTGAACTTGACAAAAGTATAATCGGTAAAATCGTTGTTGAAATATGATGCGATATGAAGCCACTTAGTACTACAGTCTAGCAATACCCATTTTCACTTGCAAATGAGAAGTCTTAGATTTTATTCTCAAACTAAATTAATATAACCAGTCCATTGTAAAACTTAACTCACTCTCCTACCCCCTAATGTAATAATATCGTATGTATAAAAAGAAATTAAAAAAAAAAAAAGATCTAAAACTCACTACTCGCTAGCCCGTTAATAATATCGTAGTTAGCCCGTATTGCATGTCAAATCCAGCGACTTGTCCGCAGCAAATCGTTACGATAAACCATAAAGCAGCAGATCACGTACTTGTCTCCGAAAAAAAAAAAAAATCCGAAAATATAACTTTAGCCTTTAAAATTTAATTTTCTTTATATAAAACACGTCATAAGTTTTTTACTCAAATAAACTCATTGACTAAATTTCATATCAGCAAATTCATTAATTATATTTGACTTTACGCATTTAAAAAAATTTGATGCCCAAAATACCCCTATTTGAATGTTTGATGTACACAATTAGTTCCATACAAATTGTAAGGGAGAATTAATGATTTTACGAAAATAAAAAGTAATAAATTTATTTCCTAATATATAATAACAACAAAACATGCCTAATATATATGTAATAATGCATGCTTAGTTAAGTCAACAAATTATATTTTACATATAAATGTAGGTAAATTATTTCACACACACACACACACATATATATATAACAAAAAAAATGCCTGGTATATGTAAAAATTCATGCAAAATAATTTACCAACAAAAAATGTTATTTGATTTAGTGCACCTACTATTTGAATTTTAAAATGTTAGATTGCTTAAAAAAAGCAAAATAATTTCCCCACTATATGTAAGAGGGGTGTGCTATCCACACATTTATTTTTTTTACTTCTCTCATACCCCTTATTAATTTCCTTTCGTTGATCTTCTTCAATTCATCCGATCTGGCTACAGAAAATTTAGAAAGGTGTGTGAGAAGTAAACAAGGATGTGTAGATATCACACCCCTATCTAAAAAGGATGTGTGAGAAGTAAACAAGGATGTGTAGTAAAAAAATGTATATAGTACTATCGGATGAATTTTCTGTAGTCCTATATACATGTGTGAGAAGTAAACAAGGATGTGTAGTACTATACATATAGGTAAACTATATATATATATTGAGCTTATGGTAGTCCTATATACATTTGAACGTATATATGAATATATATGTGTGTGTCTGAGGTAATAATATGCAATAAATTATGAGAAATATTATTGACATTTTAAAATTTTCTTTCTACACTTCTCACAAGTGTATTTTTCTTTCTAAATATAAAAAGTTTAAAGTATAGAATGAAAATTTTGAAGTGCCAATAATAATTCCCTAAATTATTTGTTCATTGTAATTAAGGTGAGTAATAATATTTATTGATTTATTTTGAATATTATGGTACAAGTTGTAAATATTTTTTATTAATTGGTCAATTACTACAATCACTTTTAAATTTGGATTTTATTTGAATATTTATAATTAGTTGGGTTTTTAGATAGGAAATAAGAGCTGCAAGGATTAATATATAAAGAACTCAAAAAAAAAAAATATTGTCGTTCAACATCTGTGTGTTCACTACCATGCACTCTGGCATTGCCAATGGATTTATCTTCGTGGTTCCGACGCAAACTCTTGAAGAATAGTGAAAAGACCAGTAACCCAGATCCCTCAGAGCAAACCCTCCTTCCCCAGCAAAACGAAAGGGAAGAAGAGCAGCTGGGAGTCACGGAGCAGTTGGTCGATCTTGTCAAGTCCTTCACTTTGGACACTTTCAGGAATTTCCCACTTCCAGGTACAAAGATAACAGCTTTCAGAATTAATTTTAATTTTAATTGTTTCCTTTGGTGTTTTGGAACAGTAATTATTTAGCTTGATAATGGAGTTTTTTCTTCGGTTAATTTGATTTTGGGTAAATAATGAAAATTTGTGGGCTGGGTTTTTCTTTGTGTGGATAAGGACTGCAATGGGTTCTTTCTTTTCTTGTTAATGGAGTTAAATTTGCTTGATTCGCTGCGGTGCAGACGATGAGGGAGCTGAAGAAGATGAAGATCTGTCTGAATGGCAGGAAAGGCATGCCACCATTGTGCTCTCAAGAGTGAAGGTTTGAATTCTAGCTCATTGTTTATGTTTAATATTTTTTGTAATTGATGTCAAATTCACAGTTATAAAGTTCGTTGAGCAAAGCATGTAAATTTATATCAACAATTGTAGAATGTTGCTCCTTGGCCTTCTAGCAATTTGCAATTGCTTTTATAAAGGTTAGTGCCTTTAGTTGTGTTGAATTTGTAGTACAAATAAGAAATGGTTGTAGTCCAAGGAGCTCGGGAAGTTCGATTACCCTGGATGTTCCAGGCGCCATATCTAGATTTCTTATTAGTTATAACTTTGGAGCTGCACTGCATTATACAACCCTTTAAGAGCATTTTTATGAATTGGATCTTTCGTATTTTCAGGAACTTTCACATTTGAGATATAAGCTATGCCCCCGCTACTTGAAGGAACGTCAATTTTGGAGAGTGTACTTTGTGCTTGTCAAGAAACAAGTGGCGGAGTAAGTACTTTACAAGTTTCAGATTTTCTATCATTTCGCACCAATGTTATCTGATATCATAGTCCGAACTCCGGATTGATTGATTAGTTGTTGATGGGATTTAGGAGTATTCGTCTAGGTAGTTTAGTTTGAATATTTTGAGCCGATTATCTTGTTAGTGTTTGGAACATACTGATTGCTCCTGATGGAGCTCTAGACTCGTATTCTCTTCCTATCATAGGGCCAGTGAAGACTGGTTTGGAAAAACGAATCAAACAAACACGATCCATTCATCTCAATGAACTTGAATGCTCAACTTTCAGTTGGAATTGGTTTGGTCAAACACATAGGCTTAGACTGCATAGAAATACATATGTACTCCATTTGAATCAGATAGCACCAAGTTCTTGATTTAGTTTATAGTAGATGTCAACAATGTTGAACTGCTGGGATCACGCTTGCACCTGAAGCTTCTTTCGATCCCTGAAAACTTGTCCACAACAGGATGATGCTTATAGCTAAAGAGTCATGTTAAAATCAGAACTGTTAAATGTGACCGTCACTATACATTTTCAAATTTACAGATTCAAGCTATAAATACAGGTGCATATGATGATATGAGTCCAAGTGACTATCACTATACTTTGTCAAGACATCTGCGTCGTTACCCTTTTGAACTATGCGATGTTTTGCTTGCCCTAGATCATGTTTAGTATCTGCACATGCGTACACACTCAGTAAACGTGATTTCTTGATTTGATCATCAGATACGAGCTGCGTGCCATACAACAAGCGAGGATCAAAGAAATGGCAGTGGAGAATGAAAAGTCTACAAATACCAGTGCATGTGAAGTCGAAATGTCAGAAGCAAAGCAGGGAGCAAAATTAGCGCCTCCAACGCCATAGCATCACATAAATTGCATTACTGCATTTCTCTTTAGCAGTAGGAATCTTATCCATTCCATTCAGTCCTTGTGCTGATGAACTAGTGACTTGTTAACGCTAACTTCTGTACTGTCTGTATTTAAGCTTGCGTTAGTCGACTTCGTGGCAGACTGAAGGGGCATTGTGAAGATCTGCACCCTGTGATCCAGCATCGGGACTGGAACGGGGGATTGGAGTAGGAACCTTCATAGTTAGTCAAACAAGTAAGTTGACAAATCTCGTCATGTTACGATCCAAACTCCAATCTTAATTTTTTTTGGAATTTCACTTCTTACGTCGAAATTTAGACTGAGTTGTTAACAATTCACTTGAACACTGTCGATGAACTACTCGAGCACTACAAAGATACTATCAAAACACTAAAAAGGCACTAAACAAAAATGAAACTCTTAGGTTTTTTTTTTTTTTTTCTGTGGTCAATTTCATATATTTAGTTTTTGTAGTGCATTCCAAGTTCAATAAAATTTTGAAGTCATTTAGCGAGAAGCGCGGATGTGTAGATTTATGCAAATTGGAGTTGGTTTTGTGACATGGCATGCAAATGGGCCTCAACTTTCGGTTACTTAAGATATGTTGGGTCGGATTTGGACTGCACTGTCCTTGAACTCATCCGCATACAAGGTACGCTCCCATTTTAATAAAATTAGTGAAAATGATTTAAAAATTTAGAATTTTAACCAAAAACACATTAATAACTTTATTTAACGGTTAAAATAAAATTCAACATCAAACAAGCCCAATTAGAGTGGCCCAACCAAAATAATTGACTGGGGCTGATTTGATCCCTAAGGGGGCGTTTGTTGCACCTCCTTAAGAGGAACTGGCTTGGACTGTCTTAAGCAAGACTATAATCCCATGTTTGGTAGGTTGTTGGACTAACATAAGTGGGACTCGCCTCGACTACGAGTCCCGCCGCACTTCACTAAAGCCGTTTATCTAGTCCCAAGCTTTCGCTTGGTATTAACAGGGACTAGAAAGGAAATGAGGCCTACGTCCAATTCCCAATTTTTGCTTGCTAAACCCAGACACCCAGTTCCTCTGCGCTCCACCTTCTTCTCCGGCGCCGTCACCATAGCCAGGCTATCATCGTAAGCCTAGGGAGGACGACGACTGCCGCTGCAGGAAAACTTCGATTGATTTGGCGGTGTGGGTTTAATTTTGAGCACCGACCATGGCGTCCTCCTCGAGGCCTCAAGCGCTCCGCTAGGAAGATGCGCTAGCAAGTTTGTTGCTTTCTTTTGCAAGAGCGATGACGTCGATTTGCAAAAATTGACGACGCCTCTGTAAATTGAAAAAAAAAATTGGGATTTTTCTGTGTTTGATTTGAAGAGAAATAAATTAAAAGAAGAGAAGGTTTGAATTGAACAGAAAGAAAATGAAATGAAGAGAAAGTATGGGTTTGATTTTTCTGAGTTTGATTTTTAATGGGAATGGGAGCAATCTGGCATGCCAAGAACAGGAAACGTATGAAAGAAAGAAAGAAGAGAAGTAGAGAGACAGGGGAGAGAGGGAGTCAAATTAAAAAAGTGTGTATAATAATAATAAATTATTAGAAAAATGAATTAAAAAATGACAGAAAAATATTTGATCTACAAAAATAATTGAGTCCGTGATTTAGTCCGACACTGCACCAAACGCTTCACTAAGTTAATCCAGCTTAGTCTAGTCTAAGCCAATCCAGCTTAGTCTTTGAACCTAGTCCAGTCCGAGATAGTCCGGCGCAACAAACGCCCCCTAACAGTTTTAGTCCAATCCTTTTTATTTTTCCCTTCTGTTTCTCCCTCTCATTTCCTTCTTTTCAATCTTAAATTCTTCATAAGTGTCTCATATGGTAACGAATCATGCGAGGTCAGAAGTTACAAGTTCGTAACGATGCCCTATTTCTTCTAATACAAGACCCAGACGTTGAAATTCAATATCCTAGGAGATTGACCTCTCCAAAAGTGATTTTTTCCGGGCAGTTTTTGCCAATTTTTTTTACCAAATTTAACTGAATTGGTCCTCGACCCAAGAGAGAAGTTTGATCATTTCCTCAGGGGCTTCTTTTCCATGTAAGTGCTTCTTCAAAATTGATACTTTCAGATTTTGGTTATAGAAATAGTTGCAGTGCCATTGTTCAGTTCTAGAAATAGTTGTAGTGGTTTGACGGATATGGGGTAATGCCCATTTGGGGCAAGGGGTGGAAGAAAAAATAGGGCGGTTGTGCAATGAGCTTTGCTTCCAGCCCGTGAGTTTTAATATTTAGAGTTTGACGTATGTAATTTGTGTCATTTTTATTAAATAAAGTTATTAGAGTGCTTTTGATTAAGAAAATGTTTGAACCAGCATTTTTCATTAAAGCTCCCTCTAAATTATTCTTGTAAAGGGCTCCATTCGAAACTCAAGACATTGACTCGGTTTTAATGGAATTCTACAAACAACGAAAAAATCACGATCACGTGAAACGTGAATGAAGAATCGATGACAATAACAGGCACAATACGAATTACTAGTGGAATATCAAAGTGTTTCCCTTGTAATGTCAAACTTGAAGTCGAAGGTACTGACGGCAGTGTAAATTCCATCGTCGATGTTTGCTGTTAACTATTTCCCCGGCAGTAAGAGTGCCGCGCTGGCTGTAGGAGAAAGAAATATCGCATGAAGCCTCCGAAGTGACGAGACACATCCGCCTTATACACAGCCTCATTTTCACTACTCGTGATGGTTTCAGTTTCTCCAAAACGGACTGATTCTGTAGACCCAATCTTGATCTTTCCGTCTGCGATTACTGGAACAGTGGCGCAGGTGCTGCTCCCTACACTACCAAGCCGCAGAAGTGAGGAGACGCCGGAGACCTTTACCTCTGCCGGAAAAGATTCTTTGTTACGATTAACATCCCCACCAAAGCCGATTTTTGGACAACATTTTGGTTGTCCATTGTGAGGCCCTTGAGGCGATAAGTGACATCACTGATACTCCTTGAAAGGACAATCTCTTCCACCTCCATGCATGGTTCGTTGTCTATAGAGAAGGCCAAAATAACGTGCTAGAGTCGTTGCTGGTGGTATCATCTGAGTCAGCGTAGATCCAATCATCCTCGGCAAGCCTCCAGAACTTACCCGAGGAATTGGACTTTATGCGGATGCTTCCATCGGCATTCTTGAACACCTCGTTCCCCAGCGTTGGATCTCCGATATCTGTGGATTTTAGTCATAGAACAAATTATACCTAATCACTTGTTCCTAAAGCAACAGATTAACATTAATCAGGATCTCAGTTAGTCAATCCCATATTTACAGACATGGTACCTGGAATGAGTACGTTTGCCTGTCAGTTTCGACATCAAAGATGGAAACTATTTTATCTGAGGCTGCTGCCAGCAGTTGTCCAGTTCTTGGCTGAAACCTCACTTGTGCAGTACCTCCCTGGCCCAAATGATAAGGGCAACTTTTAAGGTGTGAGTATAGCATTCGTACAAATAAAAAAACACTTGACTTGGAAGGAAAGGACAGAAGATTACAAACCTTCGAACTAGAGTACAAGAGAATGGGTTAATATTCCAGTACCGAATTTCATTGTCATGATCACAGAAACAAAATGAATCATTCTTCTTGGGGTGGAAGTCATTGGGACATAATAGGTGAGTTGTGTCCCGTATATGCTTGTAGGCAACGGTTTGGCTACCACGATAAGATTAATAAGTCAACAACGCTAGTACATGCCTTTTTGTCATGCCCAGCACTAGCCAGTAACTTCCCATCAGAAGAAAGTGAAGAAACTGGAGCCAACTTCACAATTGTAAAACCTGAATTGGACAATGCGGCCACAGCTTAGGTACAGTGAAGAAACTGGAGCAACTCTCTGAATACAATGTGTAAACCTTCAAGTTACCTTTAGAAGAATCTTTATGGCGCTGTTTAGGACTCTGCTTTAATGTCACATACAGATCCCTCCTGTCTCCCCCATCATTTGACAAAAATGATTCCACATTATCTTCTAAAGAACCAACATCTCCAAATCGTTCAGTGTCATCCTGCACAGAAAACGATTCTGTGAGAAGAAGAGTCAAAACGATTCTGTTAGAAGAAGAGTCGCTCTGGCTTTTCTACCTTCTCCGTTTCAGCATCCATAAGATAACAATAAAATTTGATACTCAAAACTCATTCATAATAGTGATTCCTCAACAATAGAACCAAGCTTTTGGCAATGTTTACTGACAGCACAATTTTTTTTTGAAACCTTGAGAAAAGTTATAATTAAATTGGCAGCTCAAGTACTCTTCAACATTTAAAGTCAGCAACTCAGCATACCAGTAAATTCGAAGATGCAGCCAGTCCTGTTCCTTCTAAACCATACATCATCAAGTTTTTTGGCATTCTGCGTACTATTGGCTGTCTTAATTCCATCACCAGGCATGCGAGTTGATGCTGCTCGAAATGGGTGAAGGGCCGACAGTGCTTCCTGTGCCGGTGCTATTGGCAGGTCCACAGGAAGAGTGTTGTTCCCTTTTTCTGGTTTTCAGCAGAAAAAAACATCAATAGATGTTGATCATCTTATCCAAAACTAAGTTCATCGGGTCCTAATTCAAAAGGCATAAGATTGTAGCATCATATCATCGTTGTGGCAATTGTTTAACAACATATAAACTAAAATTAAAAATTATATTAGACACTAAAATTAATAGATTATATTAAGACAGAAGAGTTAAACCCATCGATAAGAAAAGAAACTTATTCTACATTATTTGTCAAGGGCTTTAACTAGGATCATCTAATTACCATATAATATTGTTACTTGGAAAACACTGCATATAAAGCTGTTTACTAGAAATACTAAACTTAAAACACTGCACATTCAACTCTATATCTGCAAGTCAGTCTCCCCTCCAGATTTCCACACCAAAGCACTCTCGGAGGATTTTAAGCTTGAATTTACTTCCATAACTTAACGGAACTGTCATGACTTGCTGACGCAACCATTCCAGTATAAGGTGACTGAGCCAGAGCTGAGATTATATTCTCGTGTGCCGCAACTGTCACGCTCTTGTTCTCAGCCATGTTCCACAGCTCCAAAGACTAGCTCACAACCACGAAGGCGACTATCAGCAATAATTACCCTTTTACATAATAGCATATTAACCATAGGTTACCATGGTCAATGCAGTTACTATGAACATCATCATCTGCTACTTTATTTGTTTATGAAGCTATTACTAGAAGTCTAGAAGAGGTTAAGAAATTACCGAGATTCCTCTGATGATCAAGAGAGTTGAATAACTTGGGTGAAAGACACACGAATGAAACTGGTTGCCGTCAGAGCTGAGCTCCTGAATACACTCTCCCGAAGATAACAACCAAATCTTCACCAAGTTCTGACTAACAGATGCCAGATATTCTTCATTTGCATGCCAACCAATGTAGTTTACCATGTCAGAGTACCCCTAAGATTGAGGACAATGATTTGATCGTATAACTAATCACTTGTTCCTACAGCAACAGATTAACATTAATCCGGATCTCAGTTAATCCCATATTTACAGACATGGTACCTGGAACGAATGTGTTTGCCTGTCAGTTTCGACATCATAGATGGAAACAATTTTATCCGAGGCTGCTGCCAGCAGTTGTCCAGTTCTTGGCTGAAACCTCACTTGTGCAGTACCTCCCTGCCCCAAATGATAAAGACAATTTTTAGGGTGTGAGTATAGCTTTCTTACAAATAAAAAAACGCTTAACTTGGAAGAAAAGAACAGAAGATTACATACCTTCGAACTACGAGTACAAGAGCATGGGTTGGTATTCCAGTACTGAATAACATTGTCATGATCACGGAAACAAAATAAATCAGTCTTCTTAATGAAAATAGTTTGGCTGCCAAGGGACATAGTAGGAGCTGTGTCCCGTATATGCTTGTAAACAACAGTTTGGCTGCCACGATAAGATTAATAAGTCAACAATGCTAGTACAATGAAAATGCACGCTAGAACGTTCTAACAACTAAAAATCACAAATGAATAAAAAATCTTGAAATTATTAACGTATTGAGGTACATCCTGGTTGTATCAGCTCAGACCATACATAAAATAGAGTAAAGACTATTACATTGGCTGCATCCCACAATCGTACAGATTTGTCAACTGAAGCTGTTGCCAGCTGAGATGAATTTGGTCTAAATCAGACATCTGTGATAACTAATTGGATCCCTAACCAAAGACATACAGAAAGAGTACAAAGTTTAAGTCTGCATAATTATGCACAACCTGTTGCAGTTGCTACTGTGGCAATTGTTCATGTTGTTGAGAGGAAGGGTGCTACATCTGTGCCATTTTTATCTGTTGAACACCAACAAAGCTTCAGAAAAAGAAAATTTGAACCTTTCAAAGGATCAAAGTTTTTGGAAACAGTAAATATCAACAGCCAAACTCAGAAATCACATGAAATGATGATTGATCATAACCATTAAAAGTTGAAAAGACCAAATTCTCATAACATAGAGCAGGAACATTTACGACAATAGATTTAACAGCATCCTTAACGATAGAACCCCAACAACAACCATGAATCCTAATCCTCATCAGATACATCAGAAAGGTTACCTTTGGTGAACTTGATAAAACTAGAGAGAACATAGATCCATCATTTCTGGTAGACTGGCCGTCTTTTGAATTCAAGCTACCCCTACGCAGTCCAGAAAATCTGCGAGGATCCATATCTCCATAATTTGTTGAACTTCCAACGTTATTTTGTGCCTGAGCTTGTGCCAAAACCTGCTGTTGTTGAGATGCCAAAAAGAACTGATTTGGGTCTGAAGATTTGGCTTCTGCATTTGTACACCCAAATTCTGTCATAATTGGTTGATTCCCTGCAGTATGTAGTAGTTTTGCAACAAAGAATTAAATCCACACTAGAAGAAACATTTAAGAAGAGAGAGCCATATATAACTGACAGTTAAAGGCCAACCCTTCAAAGGAAGACCTGTAATGCCTTGATTCAATCCTGAAGGAAGAAATGAGCCGTATCTGACAGTCAGGTATTGTCACCTGCACTGCTCAGTCTAAATTTTGACTGTAAAATTGCTTGTCCATAAATTGATGAAGGATCCATAGGCAAATTTTTCTGAGTTGCACCTAAGCTAACTTCGCTCTTGATGTCCTACAATCTCCACAAGCCACATACTAATTGATCAGTATGGTAGAAAAGAAGAGGCAAAGAAAGTTAAGAAACTAATAAATTCGGAAAAAGAAAAATGAATAAAGAGTAAAGGTAATAGTTTGAGTAGTTACAGTGGTTAAAGGAGTTCGTGCTTGGATTTGCTGCAAAGCAGCAGGCATGTTCCCAGAATTGCCTTGTACCAACTGGCTGAATCAACGAGAACCAAACAGATGAATGACCCATTGCGATCAGGAAAACAATTAACAAAAATAAAGCTCATATACATGCAAAAACTAAGGAGAAGTTACCCTTGTGGATTTGCAACTGATTTGAGCAGGGCCATCCTACTGGCATCAACAAGCGCAGGGGATTACTCTGAATCCATTGAGTGAGGGTGTTTCATACGATCTTCATACATTTTCATGGCTAGAACACTGGCTGACGGTTGCCCCATAACAACCTCAGAGTTTATAGCATTTATAGCACCACCAAGAGCAGGATGACTAGGATCCCAAAGCTGTAACTGAGCACTGCGATGCTCCAATAACTGTAGCTGCTGCATTTGTATCTGCTGTTGCTCCCTTGCCTTAATTTGAGCAGGGCCATCCTACTGGCATCAATAAGCGCACGGGATGCCTCTGAATCCATCGAATGAGGGAGTTTCATACAATCTTCATACATTTTCATGGCTAGCACACTGGCTAATGGTTGCCCCATTCGGGTATATGATCTGTAGGAACGTCATCGAACTGTTGGAGATGGCTTAGTAGAGCTACACATAGAGACTCATGCAGCGTATGCACATGTGAATTCGACTAAGTGAAAACTTGGATTGGTCTTGAATCTGGACGCTGGCTGATCAAATGTAACACAAAGAAGTTAGCAAGAAATGTAGAAAACAACCTGCAACTTGTTGAAATGATGGTAAAAGGTTTGGAACTAAACATTTAAGCTATAAAACTCGATGAATAATTTGGTTTGACAAGAAATTACCTCTGAAGTTTAGAATGTGAGAAATCTCAGGCCAATATCCAATCTTCATCTTCATCTTCATCTTCATCTTCATCTGAATGAACTAATTGACAAAAAAAAAAAAAAAGAGGTTTGGTCAATACTCAATATTGAAGAAGAAACGTGAGAGAAGGAGAATTGAACAAATGAATTATTTGTTTTGAGAGAGAAGGAATTACTTTTGATTTTTGGAATATGAGATATCTTGGGCCACTCTGTGCCGGTACCGCTGGCACATGTTTCCTTCAGAATGGGACATCCTAAAATTAGTAGATGGTCTAGTTTGGTGAGGCGTTGCATATCTTGGGCGGAAGGCAGAGACTTGAGATTCTTGCACGCCCCTATAGACAGTTGGGCAAGAGATGTAAGGTCACCTAACCACTCTGGAAGAGTCTCCAGCCCATCACACGTACATATAGCTAACACTGTTACAGGATTAGTCGAGTGATTAATTATTTGAGGCAGAGACTTGAGCTTAGGCCACCCCACTATTGCTAACTTGTTTGATGAAGGAATTTGCGAAACCGGAAAAGAATCGAGCTCCTGCCACAACCCACCAATCTGCATTATCTCCAAACGAGTCAGAGTGTGTAGACCCGTCGGCAAGTATCGTAATTTCTTACAATCAAGTATTGTTAAGCTGGAAAGAGATTGCAAGCTAGTTACATCGACACCTGCCAGAGATATCAATTTTTTGCACCTTTCAATTTTCAACTCGACAAGAGATGTGCAGGATGAGAGCCCACTCGGCAGACCTGTCAATCCATCACATTCCACAATACTCAGCTCGCCAAGGGATGTGAGGTTGTCTAAACTGGGAAGAGCTTTTAAATTCTGACAATCCTCTATTCTCAAGTTCCCAAGGGATGTGCAGGATGAGAGCCCACTCGGCAGACCTGTCAATCCATCACATTCCACAATACTCAGTTTGCCAAGGGATGTGAGGTTGTCTAAACTGGGAAGAGCCTCTAAATTAGAGCATTTGTATATCTCCAGAACTTTAAGACAGAGGGCAGTTTGGATCCCCCACCCATCACGCACTAAATGCCTCAAATTCTGACAATTCCGTATTCTCAGTTCGCCAAGGGATGTGCAATCGTGTAAAGAAATCTGCCTCAAATTCTGACAATACACTACTCTCAGTTCGCCAAGGGATGTGCAATCGTGTAAAGAAATCTCATCAAGAGTACTAATAAAGTCGATGTCCAATTCCGGTTCGCTCCAACTTGCAATAACCAATTTCCGGAGGGCGGTCAGACTCTTCCCACGTTCGGCAACTGAACTCCATCTTAACTCAGGACAATTCACTATACTCAACTCCTTAAGAGATTCATGACGGCCTTGCAGGCTTGATAGTTGAGCACAATCTTCAATTACAAATTGCCCAAGGGATGGCGGGAATACATCTGAAATTGGAATGCATTCTAAGTTTCGGCAACCACTTATTTTCAATCTCTCAAGTGCGTTGCAATGTTTCAACTCTCTCGGCAAACTTGAAAGCTTCCCACAACCCTCAATCACTAATCCTCGAAGAGACGGAGTGATTGGAATGAAAGTTAGACGAGGACAATTCCTCATCGTCAACTCCTCAAGAAGAGTGAGTGTTTCTAGCCCATCAACCGAAACATGCCTCAGAGATTCGCAATTGTCGATACAGAGTGAACCAAGGGATGTACAATCCTGTAAAGACAACTCCTCCAGTGTAGTACTGCTGCCAATAGACAATTCCAATCCGCAACTTGCAATAAGTACTAGTTTGCGGAGGGTCATCAGACCGTGATTTGAAATGCATATTAACTTGGGGGATTTGTAAATAGTCAACTCCTCAATAAGAGACATGTCTAACCCATCAACTGCATACTGCCTCAATCGTTGAAAATCGTTGACATGCAGCGCACGAATAGAAGTGCAAGATTCAAGCCCAATAAATGCACAAGTTTTTAGTTCATCACAATCTTCAATGGTCAATTCACGGAGGGATGTGCATCCGTGTAAACTTGAAATTGAATCTAGATTTCTGCACGACCTTAAAGACAACACCTCCAGAGGGATATAGCATTCTGGTAGACTTTGCAGGTCCATTGATATTAATCCACCACATGAACTAATCTCCAATCCTCGAAGGGATGTTACACCGTGAATTGAAATGGATATCAGATTATCACAGCGGCTTATTTCCAAATTTTCAAGAGATGGACATTTTATGGACAACTCCTCAAGAGAAACTCCAGTGTACAATTCTAGTCCACTATGATGGCTGGTTGATGTTAATTTGCCACCACGTGAACTAAACAACAATTTTCGGATGGATGTCAAACCAAATAATGAAAGGGATCTAAGTTTGTCGCAGCTGCATATTTCCAAATTCTGAAGAGAGGTACACTTTTCTACCAGACTTGTTAGGTTTGATAGCTCGTGACAAATACTCATCTCCAACTTACGAAGGAATGCGAAATGATCAGGAAAATTTCTTATTTGTGGACACTCCACGAGATCCAACTCCTCAAGGCGAGGAAACACCGATATTTGTTGTTCTTTCACCATTGGTGGTTCAATCCATTCGGTCAGATTTAGGGCCGCAATAATTCTGAATGTCTTCAATGTAGGAAACAAAGCCTTGGTCTTCATTGCATCATCAATGTCATAATAGCCATAAAACTCATCTCCCAAACGTTTTAGATTACACATTGTATTAAACTCAAGATGCATAAGACTAGGTAGATGGCCAAGCATAGGGGCTTCTTCACATACGTCGCACTGAAATAATCGAATCTCTTTCAAGTTGTTGTGTGGCTTCCAAGATGGAAATTGAGCACCCATGAAATTGCGAATCTCTAGAATTTCAAGATTAGGGTGCGGCTGGAGGCCTTGGAGAACATCCTCTTCACTGTTGTTGCATGGCCTCATTTCCTCACCCCATATAAGTGATAACTTTCGTATGTTTTTCTTCCCAACTAAATTTGATTTCTTCGCTTCCTCTCCATCCCTCACATGTTCCAGATCATAAATAGCCAATTCACCTTTTAAGTGGTTTAAGCCAGCCAATTCCTCAATTCCACGACTGGTTCCATCAGGACTCACAATAAAATAAGGCATGGTTCGAAGACTGGTCAATTGCCCAACCCTAACATGAGATTCCCTGTACCAACCAAAATTAGCACGTTTCTTTTTTTGGACAGGACCAAAATAGATGTGTCTTAAGTTGATCAAATCTCCCATTTCCATAGAAAACACCTTTAGACGTCTACAATGCTCCATTCTTAATGTCTGTAAGTTATGGAGCTTGCCCACAGATTTGGGGAGTGCTTCAATCTTTGTTCTAGAAACGTTTAAATACCTCAATTGCTTCAGTTTCCCAATTGAAATAGGCAGCTCCTTAATATCAGCGTTGTAAAGATTCAAGACATGTAAACCTCTAAACCTTGGCAACATGTGACTAGGAACTTCACTATTAGAAAACAATGAGCGCAATCCCCTTAAACTTTTTTTCGGAATTGATTGCAAAACCAAAGTAGGAATGTGTGAAGCATGTCGGATCTTCAGTGTGCCGACTGTTTCATTAGAATCTGAAGTTGCGCTCTCAAATTTTGATACATGTTCTGCAAAATCATGCACAAGAGCGTGCATCTTGCATTTGGCTACGACACCAAATTCATCCTTCGTAAGATCTTGAAGTAAGGAGTTTTGCAATAGAATATGAAAATACTCAGTGCCTATATCCTCCATTTCTAGATCACTATTCTCGGAAGAAGGGCAAAGCAATCCTTGAGCCATCCATAGTTGGATTAGGTCATCCCTTTCAATTTCAGATCCTTTCTTGAACATTGAGCAATAAGTGAAGCATTGTTTCAAAAATGGGAATTTCAAATTATCCAGACTCAACTTCAATTCCGAGATGATAATCTCTTTTGCTTCTGGAGAGTCACATATTTTACTTTGTAGAATTGCTGACCATTGATCTGCACCATTCTTAGAACGCAACATTCCTCCGAAAACCTGTTGGTTCATATATGGTTAGATTTCCTGTTAAGTTATTCATAGACTTCGTAAGTGATTATAACAATAAACATTGGTTGGTAGTTTGACAGAAGCTAGTTAACTAATATTATAATGTTACTGTTAATGGATAAAGAGAATGTTAGGACCCTAACAATATTAATGGGCCAATATCTGTAATAAGGTTAATGGGTCACTTAGGCCAACTACGAAGAGCACCATGTATTTCTAAATATCCTCATTTGTAAGCTTTAAATAAATAATACAAAATAAATTGTCTTTACCTTTGCCACAGATGGTAAACCTGCACACTTTTTGGCAATGTCTCTTCCAACTGTCTCTAGATCAGGATCTGTAGGAGCAGTATTATCTACAAATGCTCTTCCCTTCAATATGGACCAGCATTCGTCTTCCGATAGAAATCCCAAATCATAGCGAGAAAGTGTTTCCGTAATTGTTGCAACTTTGGAACTGCGTGTAGTGACTAGTATGGTGCTCCCCCGTGCAAAACGGAGTTCTGACAAACAAATCATCAATTTGCTCCATTCTTCGGAATCTTCATTCCAAACGTCATCGAGTACAAGAAGACATCTTTTCTCCGCCAACTGTTCTTGGAGGCTTTTAAGCACTGCCTCCTGACTTTGTATATCAACCGTTCCACAGTTAACACATTCTAAGATTCGACTCAAAATTAAATCGACATCGAATGTTTTGGATACATATATCCATATTTTCTTATCGAACTGTTGACTTATCGCATCTTCATTATAAACCAACTTGGCCAAAGTAGTTTTTCCCAAGCCTGGCATCCCCACAATGGCCATGACAGAAAGACTTTCTTGATCTTTTGAGTTGGTCAAGGTTGCAACTATGTTTGACACGGCATCATCTCTGCCAACGATGATTTCATTGCCAATTGATGAATTGGTTTCTCTCGTCGATTTCATTGCTTGAGAAGTTGCATCTATATTTTTGGAAAATAGTGCCATAGAAGATGCCTGACTGGCGAGATCCACCAACGATGCGTTGATGCTCTTAATTTTACATGCTGTTTTAAGACGAAATGCAACCGGATTAGAGAATGAAAAGAAGTTGAGTACCTTTCTCTTCAAATGGTTTTGTATTTCGTGCTTATGGCGGAGAACTTCATAGTTGATTTCCTCCAAGACATCATCAGCATCATTGGCTACGTCCTTAAGTTTCTGCACCCACGACGCCACTGCCTCACGCGGATCTTGTGGTTGCTCAGCAGCTTCACGCGTGATATCTTGAATCATGGATAATGTTTGATGCAGGCTTTTCAGTTTTTCTTCAAGTTCCCAAGAACGGACGAGCGGTTCATTGGAAAGTGAAACCGCCTTTGCAAGTATTCCCTCAGCAGTAAAACTAGATAGCTGTGCCATATTCTTCCTTCCGTACACAAATCACAAATCAAACAGATCAAAAGCAAAGAATTCTCTCTTTTGGTCAAGTTCTCTCCTCTGTGAGAGTTTCTCTCCTGCGTGAGGGTCGCTTCGGTGTAAGTGTTTCATCTCGAGTAATCGAACATGGTTAGCTGTAGATTCTGCAAAGGGGCTCTATTCTGGAAACTCTTCGCTCCTTTCTCAGTAATAGTAAGTCCGTTCACAAAGAGTAGTTGGTTGGTGGTATTTAATTCCTTTATCCAGTCAGCAAGTAGGCTATTGATGCCAAGGTAGTGCGTTCTCTACAATCTTCCTTCTGCCGATCATTTATTAGGTATTTTCTTCACTAATGGCGCGTTTACGTAACGGTAATGAAGATATGAGGAATTGAATTAAGGAGGAGTTGGAATGAGGAGAAGTCATAATCGGATTCCTGTTGAAGCTGTTTACTTAAATGTTCTGGAATCGAAATAGAATTTCATAAAGTTGTTTACTAATTCAGCAGAATCGGAATATAAACTAATATGATTACTAAAATGCCCTTGTCCAAAATCAAATATTTTATATACTTTAATGGGTTTATAAATGATAGTCTTGGAAATAAAAAAAAGTAAGTGAGAGCATAAAAGGAACAAAACTGTCATTCTGATTACCCAAACAAGAAGGAATTGGATTACCACCTATATCTAGGGAATCTAATTCCACCAATACAAGGAATTGAATTCCAAAATTTATGTGAGCTCCACTGCTTTTTTGATTCCTCTATATTTAGTAAACAACGAAGTATTCCGTAATCAAAATTCAATTTCACGTTCTCATTCCGTTTATGAATACGTAAACACGCTATAAATCTCGGTCTATTTGAACGATATCGGTCGTTCTTTGTCCTTCTCAATATTTATTGCAGTGGGTAAGGTTCACCTAACCAAACCCATTTCACTTAAAAGCGCCGATGACACGCGGACCAAATTTAGATATTTTCCACCCCCCAATTTTATGGGTTTGATCCTTGTCCTTCTCAATATTTAATGTGACAATCTATAAATGGAAAATAATAAACTCTCTTTTGGGGAAATTTATAAATGATAAATATTTACATAGAATTTCAAGTTGGAATTGTTATCTCTAATTTCCAGATTATATTTCCACACAAAAATTCCAAAATTTCTATGATTATAAATTCAAACAATGGAACTGCAAAATTCTGACTTTGTTCAAATTTCAAATTTTTATTTAATTTTTTATAATACTTTCCTCAGTTAAGGATGAACTCATCCTCCCACTCACAAATAACTCGTCTTTTATTTATGCAAATTTCTGCCAAAGTTGAATTGACGAGAAACCTGCAAAACAAAATAAAAAAGGAGAAACAGAGTTATGACTAACACTGATGAAGTGTTTGAAAAAAGAGTTGTCACATCTTCAACTCCTAATTTAGACTTTTAGTCCTTTGATTAGTTAATTTAAGTTAGTTTGTCTTATTTTGTGTCAAGTAAAAATAAACCTTTCTTCCTCCTAATTCACATTTGTTAATCTCTGATATCCAATTCATACAAGGTGCTTTGCATTGTAGGTAATTGATACATGTGCATGGCTACATGCAAGTTGTGGCAGCAAGCTGGAATTGGTAGCTCATGTTCATCAGTCAACTCCCAGGCCTCAAACCATCAATTTAGACTGCTTGGATCCAGATGACTTATTCATGAAAGTTGTTTCAAATTGTGTCGACTACGACATGTCCAAAATTGGCACCAATCTAAGCTCGGTCGCATTCCAAGTGCATCCCACACACCAACAGGTGTTCAAATTCGCAGCTCATGATCTTCAGTCAGATTCACTGGCGTAGCCACACCAAAGGCTACGGGGCTGTAACCCAAGGAGGGTTTGTGGCAACATGTGTATATATATTTTAGCGTATATTCTAATATAATAGACACATAAAAAAAAGTGCAAGGAGAATTATTTTTAATGAAACTAACCCAGTGAATATTTAGCAACTAAAAATATAAAATTACCATGGAAATTGTGATGTAATTTTGTTAAAAATTATTATGCTTTGATTCAATGGGCTTTATATTAGTTTCATTCAACATTTTTTTTAAAGATTGCCTTTACTTCTACTTTCATAGTTTTGTTTTGTGCTGGTTGTGTGGTTGTAATTGAGATACCAAGTTTTATATCTTCTTCTTGTGTTTGCATCTAAATATATGTGAAATTTGATGGTTCATTGTAATTTTTGCAATTTGCAATTGGGAAACTTATTGAGTTCATGCCAAACAAATTTTAAGTATACAAATACGAAAGTTAAACTTAAATTTTTGCATATAATATGTATGTAGCAAAAAAAAAAATCATTTGATTTTAGCATAATTTTTTTAGCTAGCTCACCTATAAAAAAAAAATTCTGATTCCGCCCTTGGTCAGAATGTGGAGCTCAAAACATCAACTTAAAGTGCCCAAATAAAAACGACTTCTTCGTGAAAGTTGCTCTAAATTGTGTCTAAGGTAACATATCCAAAATTGGTGATAATCTATTTAATGATGCGTTCTTAGCGATCAAAACATAGAAGTATGTTATGAGGAAACTTTAGCAGCTGTGCCACTAAATGCAAAATAAAAGGAGGAAAAACTCACCTACTATGAATAATAGCATGCATTGATTGTGGACCAAATGATGAAAGGAGAAGTGATTCATCCATGTGGGAAGACAAGGAGTAGTGGAAGCAAAAGAAAAGGAGGAAAAAGCTAACCTACTACAAGACCCACTTTCTTAGCAAGTGGTAGATATGAGCTTAAAATATAAGACCATCTCTAACTCAAGGGATAAAAGTAAAAGTAAAAATATAAACTTTAAAACCCCCAAATTGTTGTAAACATTCCTAGTTTAAGTATGATTGTGTAAATCCTAGATAAGCATTGATTCTAGTTATCCTTTCCTATTACAACTTGTATTACTTGGAGGAGAAGAAATATCTTCTCTACCTTTACTACTATAAATAAAGGCACAATGTAGGAGGGATAACAACACACACATTCCCCTACAATTCTACAAACACACATCTCTCTTCTCTCTTTCTCTGCCGCCAGCCCTAGTCTCTCTGTCAGATAAAATAGACCACAACACGTTATCAGCACGCTCTTACCGCTGCGCTTAGGAATCTGACGTTGGAGATTTTTTTTCTGCATCAAACCAGTTCATCCATATCATTACGCAATCATGTTCTTTCCAAACAACGGCTTTTAACTCGATATTTTGCAAGCCCTGATAGCATGAACATTCACCATGATGCATGACCCAACTTTACGCTTAACGTATTTTAGATTCTACATAAATTGTGTATGCTTCATAACCAAAATTGCTACAATTATGTGAATTTGATATTTGCCATGAATTGAATCTTACATATGTACATGCATTGAAACTATTATTTGCATATGCATCAAAGTAAATATGTGATTCATTGAATTATATATGCATCTAATTGATAAAAATTGAAAAATTGGAATCGGAAAAATTAGGGTTCTTTCGAACCCAGGCCTTTGCATATTGCAAGGCCCGCAGCTTGCGATGGCCCATCCTTTCTCCTTAGCTAGGCCTGAAGCCTGCATCGCAACCCCCAAGCCGAGAGCATGCAGCTCTTCTCCAACCCAGAAACCCGACGTCGTTTATGGCGTCTCTCCCATTGTACGATGGCTTGCAGCCCATCCTCACACCTCGGGTCAACTTGTCTAACAGCCTGAAGCTCGTCCCTGACATCGATTGACCGAGATTCAATTGAATCTCATCGGTTTTTTTTTAAAAACCCGATTCGAAATTTCTAGGGTTTGATTGCAACAATTGAGATTTTAATTTCTCCATGTTGTAATCATAGTCGAAAACACCCCAGAAGGGTACCTCCGAGTCTTCTCGTCCAAGATTTGGCCACCTGCAGTGGTGGCGCCGATCATCTTCTCCGGTGGAATCACCTAGCCTCGCTAGGATTTCTTGGATCCAGCCCGATCCCAAATTTTTTGGGCCTGGCTTCGACTCAGGCTGAAAAATAATAAATTTTTTTCTTTTGGGCTCACCACTGCAAGCCCAGTTCGACCCCCTCATTTTTTCAGCCCAGCGTTACATCACACCAGCCCAAATGGGCTCTGGTGTTCTCCCATGCCCCATACTGCAGCGGAACCCAGCCCGTGTGGCTGTTGTGCTTTCCCTGCATCGTGATACACACGATTGAGGCATTCTTTGGGCCTCTGCCACCTGGGCCTACCTGAAGCAGCCCGTGTGTGAAAGAAAAAAAAAAAATTTTATTTCTTTGGGCCAACCTGATGTGGCCCGCCTACAAAAAAAAAAATTAATTCACTTATCATTATACAATATTTCTGCATATATTCTTTGCATATTTGTTTGCATATATATTTGTGTTTGCCTGCAGGAATATATGAACCTGAAGTTCATAATTACTTTGAAACCCGAAGTTTCTTCTAAACATGCCTTGTTTGAAAACCTGAAGTTTTCACTTAAACATATCACCCATGAAAACCCGAAGTTTTTCATGCAAAATTAAACCAATACATGTCTATTAGAACCTGTATGTTCTACTCCTATGTGAATGGATTGATTTTTCTCCATTACACTAACCACATCTTGTTCATCCATTTTGTGATAGGAACATGTCGAATTTGAACAAACTCGACTTCACCGCTTTGGAGGTTTCTGGAAGGAACTACCTCAAGTGGGTTCAAGATGTGAAGCTCCACCTCACTGCAAAGAACTTGCGTCCTGCTATTGAAGAAGCAACGGATGCACCTGTTGGCGAAGCTGAAAAAGCCACTGTTATGTTCTTCATTTGAAGACATATCCATGACGCTCTGCAAACTGAGTACCTTGCTGAGGAGGATCCACGTGCATTATGGGTCGCTTTGGCTGATCGTTTCGATCACCAAAAGGACATATTCTTGCTTGAAGCAAGACACGACTGGCAGCACTTGCGCTTCCAAGACTTTAAGTCTGTGAATGAATATAATTCTGAAGTTTGTCGAATCCGATCACTTCTCAAGTTTTGCAATGAAACTTTGACTGAAGAGGATCTCCTGGAGAAGACCTACTCGACCTTCTCTGCTTCTAATATTGTCCTGCAGCAACAATATAGAGCTCAGAAGTTCACTAAGTTCTCGGATTTGATCTCTGTTTTACTTCTTGCTGAAAAGCAGAACCAGCTGTTGATGAAGAATCATCAAGCTTGACCTACTGGGGCTACTGC